ATAGGTAATTCCTCTCTGTGAATCAATTCATTATCTTCCACAAAAAACTAAAATTCATAATAAAATTTATTAATTTACTTAACATGAAATAAATATATTTAATTATTATTCTATTTTTACCTCTTCATATGGATCACATATCACTCCCTTATATACCCATTTTTCTAATATTTGCATATATGGAACACTTGCTGTTTGTATAAGAAACAAACATAATTCTTTAAATTTTGCTTCTCCACTAATGTTATTTGCTTGCTCATGCAAAAGGCTAAGCACCTTTCCACCTTTTGCATTTGCCTAAAATAAAATACTTTCATATATCCTAATTTATTGTGCCTGATCATAAAAAAATATAAAAGAAATATTAGAACTAACTTTACATATAGTCGATGTAATTTGAAAAAGAATAGACATTGCAATCATGGTTGGTTGAATATAAAACCACAATTTTTGTAAATTTAATTTGCCTCGTACATGTTCCATTTCCAATTGTACAACAAATAACTAAAAAAATTTTAAATACTGAATTAATTCATACTCCATAAGTAACCTAACTATAATCTTCTTAAAATAAATGATTTGAAGCAAAGGCCATATTAATATTATATTACTATACTTACTAAATAATCTTTCAATAAACTTTTTATAGCTCCTGTTAAAGCATGATTTACTTGACCATCTTCTGGCAAAACCTTTTCTTCAACAAATCTAGCTGTCATAGAATAGTGAGATGCCAGAGGTAATATTTGTTGAGTCATTTGTTTGTATGATATACCTAAAAATAATAACATTACAAAAGTTAATGAATATCCATGTCCATATAAAATTATCCATACAAAATTATGTTTTCTCTTACAAACATCTGATGAAATATTAAACGTTTTCACTGCATATGGACTCACTAATGGTTCAGAAACAATGTAAGTTCCATCTATACCTTTCAAACAATATAAAATGTCCCAAAGTAATATAGATTCTTGAGAAACTATTGGTACAACTTCTGCAAACATTTTATCTTTTAATAAATTAATCATATTAATTTCTTATATCAATTTAAAATGATGCTTACTTTGACATGGCATTACATTTGGTTCATTATAAAAGTCCCATGTTATTCTAGGCCTTTCATAAACCCAGTTATGTTTTATTACAGATGGCTCTGCTTTTTTCGTAGTTGCACATACTTGTTTATTTAATTTCTTTTCTCCTTCCACTGCAGCTTTAATCACATTCTTACAAATCTATATCGTACATAATACAATTCAAATTAAAAATAAAATATGATACTTAATGTACACTTCATTATTTGTTAACTGTAGATCTTACAATACTTTTGAATTCACTATACAAATTTTCTTAATAATATAATGACATAAATAAATATAATTAAATTAAGATATAATTATAATTTAAATGATTATTAAATTATTATTTTGAAAATAAATAAAACCTGTGGTAAATCTTCTGTAGTGATAGCAGCATTCTTTGTAGAAATTGATGTTAAAGCTGATGCTTCTTTAGCTAAATAACTTTTCAATTCTTTATCTTCAGATATAAGTTCTAATACTTGAATGAATAAACCTAATAAATCTACCCTATAAAAATGTTATTTGAATATTACATTAATTTTATATTAGATGTGTAAGTGTTTGTGATAATACTAACTTTCTTGCTTTTAATTCTTCGTATTTTTGAAGAAACAATTCTGGAACAGGAGAACTTTTTGCCAAGTTGCGAATAGAACTTTGAGATGCAACAATAGTTAAAGCGCTTGCACTTGTTGGTATTCCTTCTTTTTGTAATTTCTCTATATGTTTTTCTGGTGCTGAAGATGATCTAATAATAAAAGAAATAGTAATTAACTTTCACGTTGTTAAGCAATTTAAATAACTACAATGTAAAATTTGAAATACACATTTGTATAATTAATAAATTGAAACAAAATTTATATGTTTGTTAATGAAAAATTAATGAAAAAACAATATAATATGTTCCATTTCTACTCACCCAAGTAATCCAATTAATTCAACTATTAAATGATGTAATTTAAATTCGCTCATTGTTACAAATTAGTAAACATATTCTATTAGAAAATACTTATTTCTTTTGTATCATTATAACTGTAACTGACAATGTTACACTCTGTAGCATATTTAAATATGCTTAATAAAAAAATATTTCACTGAACATTTTATATATTTATTTGTTTTTGATATTATTGTAATTAATTAGGAGTATATTAGGTTAGGTTAAATACGAAGGAATATGAATTAAAAGAGAAAGTCACTAAATTTTTAATTTTAAGTAAAAAATAATACTTTCTAATTATTATTTTACGTTAATATTAATTTACTTTTGTAAAATCATTAGACACAAATGTGAGTTACGTATTTTATATGATATTGAATTGCACTTGAATTCACAAACACCAATTTATATTAAGTGACCAATAATATACGTACATTTTAAACTTTGTATTGATTTATTGACAATCAGTATTTTAGAATAAATTTGAAAATTTTATGTAGATTATTAATAAATTTACGAAATATAATACTTAACACATATCCTATAATTGAAATAAATTATAAATATTACGATAACTAAGTGAGATATATTTCAAATTTAATTTTTTTTAGTAGATCTATATACATAATTTAACATACTTAATCTTACATCATTTATTTTAAATGAAAAACATATGTAAATTTAAAATAATAATTATTACAATTATTAATTGTTATATTTTAATATTGTATGTCATATTATTGTACATCAAGGTTATAAATTTGTATTATCCTTAATTGAGTTACTATCTGGAGGAGTAAGAAACATCATTCCATAAAATAAAGATTCTTCCTCGTGAAGGATAGTTGTTTCATTTATAGGCGATGGTAAAATATTTGTGTGCAATTTTGAAGTGACTTGAAACACATATTTACTAGCAGGAATTCTAAAATTGTACAAGAATTTTATGTTGCACATAAAATTATATGATATTTGCTGTCCAAAAATACTTGATAATAATTACATAAAATATATCTGATAGGACTCATAGAATAGGGAATAAATAAGATAAAATTTTAATTATTATATTTTTCAAGATTTTAAAATGACTTTGTTCCGTTCCTTTTTTAATAGTACCATCTACATATTTTTTTACTATTTATATTGTAGTTGACAAAAAACAGGATTAATAAATTATAATAGAAAAAAATGACATGTAATTTCAACTTTAGCACATTTAGTAATACCAAAAATGTTATATTAAAAAATGCATTAAAAATTATACATTTATACTATGATGGATCTAATAAAAAGAAACTAAAAAAATTTTTCCATTTAAAAAAATTAAGATTATTGCAATATCTTAGAAAATGTAAGATGCAAAAAAAACTGTTTTAATATAATATATTTCATATAAAACAGATTTACTAAAATTAATAAATTATCAGTTATTTCAAATTGCAATTATTATTCCATACTGTTTAAAAATTTGTTAACATTAGTATGTAAGTCATTAAAAAATTATTAATAATGTTTTCTACATAATATAAAAAAGTCGAAAAATGAATTAAAAATGTAAAAGATTAAAAATTTTATAAATCTATATAAAGTAAATAAATATGGATTTGTATATTACTATGAAATATTAATTTTATTTTCTTAAAATATACCTGAAATTTGTATTTGAAATAATGGAAGAAAACATATTTTTATGTTGCAGAGTACTTTCATCATTAATATTTGTTGATGATCTGTACTTTTCTCTCACAGTATTATTAATGTGATTAAGTTGCATAATATTTGTATCATTTAATGATTGCACAAAATTTGTATGATTTGTATCATTTTTAAATCTTTTAATCACATTTTGAGTTTCTTTATTAATTATAGGTCTTTTTTTCCCTATTAAATTAATATTTTGATAATTGATAGGTAGTTTATAATTTTCCTTAGAATGCCTAAATTGATAAAAATAATTAAAAGTAATAATTAAAATGCATAAAGTTTGGTGCAATAGAATTTTCCTTACAAGAAATATTTTTTATCAATTTCAGATTTTATTTTCCTGAAAAATTTATCATCATCATTATCATCTGTAATCATAGTTGGAGTTGAAGTACTTGGTTTCTTTGTTAAATTTTGTCTAATAATATTATCAGAGCATATAATTCCTTTAACCAAGTATGAAAATAAAATTTAATTTTATGATACAAAATTAAATATAAATATTTAATAATTAAAATATAAAATATAAATTGGGTTTTAATTACTCGAGCTAAATTTTTTTAAATCCATTACATAGTTCTGTTGATTAGTAATAGTGGTATTAGTATGTATTTTATTACTATTCAAAGTTTGCATAGATGATTTTGAATTGTTCAAATTTATATGCATTTTGCATTTTTCCATTGTTGATCCCTATTCTGTTTAATATTATATTTAACATGTAAAATTATTATTATTATGGCTTTAATAACTACATTATTCATATCATAAATAAAATCCTTATATTAAAAACAAAATAGTACATAGTATTCTTGATTAAGAATAGTAACACATAATAATGATAATTCTAAACATTATTTTAATGTATTTATATATTTATACATGTATAAGTAAAGTTATACATATATTATAATATATAAAAATATTTTGTTTTATATATTTTTTCGTTCATACGATAAAATAATATTTTTAAAAAAAATGTAATGAAATAAAATAATAAGATAAAATATTAAAAAATAATAAATATTTAAAATTAATTTGCATTTCTTGATAAAAGTTCATACTATATATCCACAATTGAAATATATAAAAGAATAAATTGCTATTTGCACTAAGCAACAAATGAATATCATATTTTTTTTTTACTTTATTGCCTGTTTCATTAAAATTTAATAAAATGTGAAAATGTGAATTCGTACAAATATAATCACTGATTTGACGTTTACAATTGTATTTGAAATGCACTCAATAGCTAATCAACATACAAATAATTTCTTGTAGGTTAGTAAAATTTCATCAGATTGGTCAGTGTGCCAGACCAGAAGCATAACCTTTAAGAAGTTTTTAAGTAAATCGAATCACCAAATATAAAACGTTTATGCGAATTGAAATTGTGAACGTGGAATGATGCGTTTTATGACAGCGGTAAATTTCAAGATTTTGCCTGTTTTTCGGCATCGTGTGACAAACGTTCGATCATTTTGTAAAAATCATCGACCGAATTATGAAGAGTTGTCGATGTGCATACGACCACAATTTAGAAGAATAAAACTTAATGAACAGTATGGAACATTTGCCAGGAATATCCAGAGTCGTCGTCAGATTGCCGCTATTATTTCAATTAGATCGTTTTCTACCAAACGATTCAACGATAAAGATCCCTCCAAGTAAATTTCTTTGTTTCATTTTAAATCTATTGTTCTCAATTTTCTAAAATTATATTTACATTAAAAATAAAATATATTCATATCCTAGGTGCAAATAACAATTCCTAAGTATTGAATGTAATTTTTATATACTTATAATTCAGAGAAAAATTTGTTTAATATTTGTAACATGTTGCAGTTTTCAAAATAAATTTTATAAATAAAATTGTATTTTATTTAATAGTGGAAGCAATGAAGATGATATTGGAGATCCAGCTTCATTACCAGCCACAGTTGTTGTGCCAGAAGTTTGGCCTCATGTTCCTGTTATAGCAATTAATAGAAATCCAGTATTTCCAAGGTTTATAAAACTCATAGAACTTAGTAATCCAATTCTTATGGATTTAATTCGTAGAAAGGTCAAACTAAATCAACCATATGTTGGAATTTTTTTAAAGAAAGCAGAAGAGTAAGTGTTACAGACATCTTATTTAGTCAATAATAATAAACTTAATTTTGATGCTTGAACTTTTTAGAAATGAAGCAGAAATTGTACAAAATTTAGATGATATTTACTCTGTTGGAACATTTGCACAGATACATGAAATACAAGATTTAGGAAATCGATTAAGGTTGGTAGTAATGGCACATAGAAGGATTAAGATTGTTGGCCAAATTTTAGATGAACTTCCAAAACCTACCCATGGTAAGTAATAAAGTTCAGTTAGACATATATATTATACTAACTTTATGTATTCCAATATTTTGAAATAAATCAAAGTAAATGTTTTTGTGAGAATAACTTTATTTATTGACTTTATATTTTAATTCGAAAGGAATACAATTTTTTTACTTAGTAAATATCTAATTTTTGAATTTTATTTTATTTTAAAGAATAAAACTAAATTATTACATTGATCTAGTTGTATTTTTCCATATATATTTTTAAGTAATTTGTAATAATTTGTATATGAATGCTGAAATACACAGAAATGAAACTGATGTTTCCTCTATTAAATACAACAATTCGCGTCCCTGTAGACGATTCACAAATATCTGGTGGCAAATTGAGTCGTAGGTCATTTATTCGTAAAAGTAAAGATAATAAAGTCTTGGAATCAGAAAAGGTACAAAAAATTGAGGAAATTACTACCCCTGAAAATAAAGTAACAGAAGGAGCACAGGAGACAGTTGAAGAAAAAGTTACTCCTTCAGCAGATTCTGCAACTCACACTAGTGTTCAACCTTTGTTAATGGCAGAAGTTGTAAATATTACCCATGAGAAATTTAGGCAAACTGAAGAAATTAAGGTAGTTATAAAATATATTTATTTGGTTGTCTATAAATGTATTATAAATTAATAACATTAGTTATATAATTCCTTAAAAAGTTTTTCTCTTTTCCTTCTCCATTTTTATATTTAAATTCGATTACACAACTTTTATGTCAGCCTATGTTATAGTTTTTAATTTAGTTACGAATTTATTATGTCATATATTTTTTAAAAATTTATTTGATGTATAGGCTTTAACACAAGAATTAATTAAAACAATTCGAGATATAATAAGTATGAATCCATTATACCGTGAGTCTTTGCAACAAATGTTGCATCAAGGACAGCGAGTTGTAGACAATCCAGTTTATCTCAGTGATTTAGGTGCAGCTTTGACAGGAGCAGATGCACAAGAATTACAACAAGTATTAGAAGAAATGGATGTAAGTAATTATATTTATAGCTATTATTAAAATTAATCTTTTAATTACTAAAGTAATAACTTACAGATTTTAAAAAGATTAAGATTATCACTAGCTCTCTTAAAGAAAGAATATGAATTGAGCAAACTTCAACAAAAAATTGGAAGAGAAGTAGAAGAAAAAGTTAAGCAGCAACACAGGAAATATATCCTCCATGAACAATTAAAAGTTATTAAAAAAGAACTGGGACTTGAAAAAGATGATAAAGATGCTATAGGAGAAAAATATAGAGAACGTATACGACAGAAAGCAGTTCCAAAAGCAGTGATGGATGTATTAGAAGAAGAATTAAATAAATTAAATTTCTTAGAGAGTCATAGTAGTGAATTTAAGTATGTATTAATTTTATAATTTTTGTGTACAAAATTTTCATTTAATATATATAATATGAATAAAATATTACTTTTAATGGAAATAATTTAATTTATTTTTAATTTGGTAGTATAAATTTATTTGCAGTGTGACAAGAAATTATTTGGACTGGCTTACATCTATGCCATGGGGTGTAACTAGTTCAGAAAATTTAAATCTTCAACAAGCAATTGAGATATTGGATAAAGATCATTATGGAATGGAAGAAATAAAAAAACGAATCTTGGGTAACGAAATATTTAATAAATTATTTCGTTTACTAATTACGTAAAATATGTTTATTTTTTTCTTTTTTGACGCTAGAGTTTATTGCTGTCAGTCAGTTGAAAGGTACAACACAAGGGAAAATATTATGTTTTCACGGACCACCGGGTGTAGGAAAAACATCGATAGCTAAGTCAATTTCTCGGGCTCTCAACAGAGAGTATTTTCGATTTAGTGTGGGAGGAATGACAGATGTTGCAGAAATTAAAGGTCATAGAAGAACTTATGTGGGTGCTATGCCTGGCAAAATTATTCAGTGTTTAAAAAAAACCAAGACTGAAAATCCACTTGTTCTTATTGATGAAGTTGATAAAATTGGAAAGTATGTAGATACCGATCATTTACACATATTAAATTGTATTTCCCTTGGATAAGTTAAGCTTATAATCAAATACTCTAGTAACTAATGTCTTCTTAAAAATGTAACCATTGTTCTCTGTTTTTTATTAGAGGTCATCAAGGTGACCCAGCTTCTGCTCTGTTAGAAATGTTAGATCCAGAACAAAACGCAAATTTCTTGGACCATTATTTAGACGTTCCTGTTGATTTATCGAAAGTGCTTTTTATTTGTACGGCGAATGTAATTGATACAATTCCGGAACCTTTAAGAGATCGTATGGAAATGATAGACATGTCAGGTTACGTCGCAGAAGAAAAGCTTGCGATCGCTAAGCAATATTTAGTGCCACAAGCGATGAATGATTCAGGTTTAACTAATGAACATGTCAATATAAACGATAATGCGCTTCACTTATTAATCAAGTCCTACTGTCGAGAATCAGGAGTAAGAAGTCTTCAGAAACATATAGAGAAAGTTCATCGAAAAGTAGCGTTTAAAGTTGTTAACAAAGAAGTAGCAAAAGTGGAAGTAACTGTCAACAATTTACACGAGTTTGTAGGAAAACCCGTGTTCACGCATGATAGAATGTATGAAGTTACACCTCCTGGAGTTGTTATGGGCCTTGCATGGACAGCTATGGGAGGATCTACTCTGTTCATTGAAACAAGAGTGAGGAAACCTTTTAGTGAAAAAAAATCAGAAGGTACTCTAGAAGTCACTGGCCATTTAGGTGACGTGATGAAAGAATCTATTTATATCGCAATGACAGTTGCAAGAAACTTTATGAGTATGGAAAATCCATCTAATACTTTCCTCGCCGATTCTCATCTACATTTACATGTACCTGAAGGTGCTACTCCAAAGGATGGTCCTAGCGCAGGTATTACTATTGCAATAGCATTGATTTCGCTTGCTAAAAATCAATCAATTAGACAAAATGTTGCAATGACTGGTGAACTCAGCCTCATGGGTAGAGTGCTTCCTGTTGGTGGCATTAAAGAAAAGACGATTGCTGTAAGTATGAACAAGATAAATACTTTATTAAATCTTTTTGTATCATATACAAGATGTATCAAAATTAACAGTTTATTAAATAGAGAATAAGAAATAAAAAGGGAAATAGTTCTTATAACGATGATAAATATTTAATTTTGTTTCACCTTCTTTAAAATTTGAACATGAAAATAGAATAATAATATCTTTATATTAAGTAATATAGTATTTTTCACTTAAAATATTATTGATATCTGATAAAAACGTATAATTACTTTTTATTAACTTTAATTTTTTATGTTTTGTTATTAAAAAATAAAACAAGATTGGTTTGCATTTTTAAAATATCTTTATAATAATGAATTAATATGTTCTTTATTTTCTCTTTTTAAGGCAAAACGAGTCGGTGTAAACTGTGTAATTCTACCTGAAGAAAATAAAAAAGATTACAATGATCTTCCTAAATACATTACGGATGGTCTGGAAGTTCACTTTGCTTCGACTTTTGAAGATGTATATCATATATGTTTTGCACCACAACAAGAAACTGATAATATTCATCACCAACAACCTGTAGATCTTGATATTTCACCACCACAAAGCGCACCTCTTTTGGGTAAAAATATCGACTGAATTATTTAAGGATTAAGTACTTACGCATTTTAAAGATTATCATTTTATGCATGCATGGTCCACTTGAAACAATTAGATTATAGAATAATTGAATCTATTTTGTTTTAACCTATATTGTTTTAAGTAATATTATTGAAATAACAGTGTAGAGAGCTATTTTATTTCAAGAAAGGAATTAAAAATTTTCAAATTAATTTTATTTCAATTTCATTAATACATTTTTTAATGAACAATACATTTTTAATTAAAATCGGAATAAATTAAAAATTATCGAGAAAGGGAATTTAAGTTTTTACTATTGTTAAAATATATTAATATTTTTTTTAATAAAGAATTTATTAAAAACGTATTGTATATACAAATCAATATTCTTTGTTACTGTCACATATGGCTATAATATCTCAATAAGAATAATAATTGAATTAATGTTTATGATACAATGTAAGTAAGATATGTTTATATGCAGATTTTGTTCTGCATCATACAGTACTGTTTATTACATAAATGAAAACTATGTATATAATTCATAAAAAATAACAAAGACTACAAATTTTTAATAAATAAAACAAAATGTTTTCTACAAATATGTACTTGCAAATATCCCCATCTTTTTAAAAATAATTGTGAACATAGGTATATTGTTTCTTAAATTATTTATGTAACACATGCAAATGTTTTTAAAAAGTGTTACTTTGCAAAGAAGAAATAATATATTAATTGAACTATTATATAATTTGTTAAAATAAATAATTATAATAAATCATACAATTGAAAATTTAATTAAAAAATAGTAATCAATTTTTATATAATCAATATTTTATAGGTTGTATATTAACTTGGAACTTCCATTTTACTTAATCTAATTATAAAATCACAAAGTCTCATTTGCACTTGAATTTCTATTGGATTGTTTGTAACATAAAAACCAGGTACACCAGCCTTTTCTAAAATGCTTTGTTGATCAGCTACTTTTTGATCTAATTGTAAAACTAATTTCATATCCATTTCCTTAAGTTCTTCTTTGTGCTTTTTATATAATGTTATTTTCATTGCTGCTCTAGCTTCATCTGCAGTTGCTGATGATAATGATTCTTGCATTTCAATTTTTTGTTGATTTAATAACTGAAGACGTTGTTGAAAAAGATGTTTCTCTGTAACATGCTGTATCTCCATTAACCCCTTAACTATTTCAAATATTGTGTCATTTAATAGAGAATTAGCTAAACCAGATAACAATTCATAAGGAAGGCGCATTTGATACTTTGCAGGAAGTTCACCAGCCATGTGTTGAAGTTGCTCCACTAAAAAATACAATTTCCTTTGGAGGTCTTGAGGAGTTGGAGTTGTAACATCCATTGTTTCATCATGAAAAAATACAAAATCTAAACAAAATTAATATACTTCTTTATGTATATAATCTATATTTTATTAGATTTATAAAAGCATTTACATATTAGAATATAGAAATAAGGTTAGTTTTAGAATAATTACCTTTTGCTAGTAATAATATTCTAACGAAATCTTCGAAAGAGTTTTCAAACAAAAAATAGTTAATCAAAAATAAACTTTAATTTTAAAATAAAAATTAAAAGAGATATATAAATAAATAGTAAATTTCTTGCTTCATTGAGATCTAACATAGCTCAAATTAAGGCATTGTTTACAAAAAACAATTAGTGAACGTTAAATGTAACATTTATATATCTTATATAATTAAATCATATTAAGCCATAATTTTAAAATAAAACTTCTGACGTTCAGATATTTTTTTAATTAATAAAAAATAAAAGTTTCTGTTTTAACTAAATTAAATTTTTTTAAATATTTTATTTGGCAACACTGTTGCATAAGTTTTCCAGATGATTTTCCTGCAAGGATATAAGCAAACCGTATGTACGTGTACGTACATTTAATTGTGGTGAGCTCCGCAGTTCGTGGGAGGTTTCTAGAGGTAGACGAGGGCGAATGTCGAATTTTCTTACCGTGGGACGGAGATGCGCGTGTCAAGAGACCGCGGGAAAATGAATAATGACGAAGTGGCCAAAAAGTGAAAAATGATCAAAGCAAAATGAGGAGGACATATAACACTGCAGCAGATGTCCGAACAACTGATGGACTTGAACAAACAAGACGTTTGCACAAGTAATATTCAACTATAATATCATCAGAATTCATTTTTCTTTATGCTGTTTATTTGCTTTTATATTTGGAAGAATTTTTTCAATGTTACTGGAACATCTAAATTTACCTTATGTTAACATAACCTATATTCATAAACCATAGCCTTTTATTGGCGCGCTTTTGTATAGAGTTTACCTTTATTAATTGGAAAATTTACTCTGTAAAAATATTATGTTATTAACCTATGTATATTGTGTAAAAACATGTACTATTTATTTAGATGTTTAACATGAATCAACTGCAACTACAAAGCATATTTATATCTTTATAAAATATAGTTCAGTATCATAAGGCTAATATAGAAATTTACTAATATGGTTGTAATTGTACCTTTTATTTTATCTATTATTTTATTATTTTTTATTTAACAATAATTAATTTTTCGTGTTAATTGCAAATAATGACTTTTGTTGGTAACTTTGTCACTTTTTGTGTCGTTTATGCATACTGTAATTGAATACAGTATTAAACTTTACTTTAGAAGTAATATAAAAACAATGAGTATTATAAAGCATATAATATGAAACATGTGATAATGTGGTATTTTATAATAATAAATTTATTACAAAAGTATACATAATTAATTATTTGGAATATATTTCATTAATAGGGGTATAACAGATATTGCCAAAAGATTAGATGAACAAAAAAACCATGCATTAACAATAAGAGATTTATTTACCCCTTCAGGGGAAACATTACGGGTGAAGCTTAAAGATTATTGTGTAAGATTAATAACTAAAGATCCTGTTGAGTATGCACGTAAAACTGAAGAGTTATTATGGAGAAAAGCATTTTACGATATTGTTTATGCATCTAAAAAATTACGAAAGGTATTAACATTTGTGTGTTACATATTTAAATAATAAATTATACTATTTTAATATTCTGTTTATTATTATTATTATTTTCATAAATATTATATTAATAAACATAAATTTATTTTAGGATAATGCATGGACTGAAACAGAAAAAGCAATGTTATCTGTTCATCTGGCAGTAGGGATTGGATTTTATCATCATTTAATACTAAAACTGCAATTAGAATATGGTTTAGATCTAGTTGGTACTATTGATTTTGCATTTACACATAATGTAACAGGATTATCAAGTGTAAGTTTTTTTGTATATTCTGTTCCTAAATTTTATAGTAGTGTCAAATATACATTGCTTTTCAAATATAAAAGAGATTTTAATAGATTTAAATTAAATCAGAGTTCATGCAATTTTTTGATGCTCTGTATATGTAATGCTAATTATAGCTAATATATTCAATAAAATTAATTTTATGCTTTTTTGTATTTTACTAGGCAAAAAGTAAAACCAGTCAATCTAAACATACCGAAGAAGTGAAACAGTGTGTTATGCGCTTAATTCATAGAAGTTTGGTATGCCTTGGAGATTTAGCTAGATATAAATTAGAAATAGATCCATATTGGGATCCAATGATAGCAAAGAGGTATTATAAAATGGCTATAACGATTGATCCAAATATTGGAATGCCACATAATCAATTGGGCACTATAGCGGGCAATAAAAATTATGGTCTTGATGCAGTATATCACTACATGAGATGGTTAGAATACCTTTTTATTTCATACCTGAATAACAACATAAGGCTTATTACTTTCTGTTCAGCAATTTTATTAAATTATTAATTGTAATTTATAAGAACATTTTAGTATATAAATTTTGTTAAATCAGTAAGATGTACTATTATAATATTCTTTAAAATCTATTATATTTTTATAATGTGTCTCACTAATTAATAATATATTTTGCATTTAATATAAATTAATAATTATTGTTTTATAGCATTTTATGTTCTGAACCATTTGAAGGAGCAGAAGGGAATTTAAAAAGAGCCATTGTCACACACTCTATTTGTACTGATGAGAAGTGTTCTACATATGTATGTGTTTCAAGATTGTTTTCCTTATTACAATTATGGGATTATGATGTACCAAATTCTGATCGAATAAATCACGAATGTCAGGTACATAAATTAATATATGTATTTGTATATTAAGTTATTTGTTTATTATTCTTATTTTTATAAAAATTAATCTCTATTTTGATTACATTTTTTAAAGGATCTTTTAACTAATATCGAAAATTGCTTGAGTGCAGAACAACCTGAATCAAATGATATAAATTCCAATGAAAAAGAGAGTAATATTGAAATATACCTTCAAAATTGTAAAAATGAACAAACGAATTATTTGACAGATGATATGATATTTAAAATTGTGGCTATATGTTTAATGTCTATGTCAAGATTAAAAAGTAAAGAATCTAGCGAGGCGCAAGGCGTTATCGCTATAACTTTAGCAATATTGTCTCAATTAATACAATTTACAATAACTAGATTACAAGAATCTTTTATAGATTTATCATTACCCAATATGGGACTATCAAATTTGAAAGATAATGACTGTAATACTGAGTCAGTGAATATTGAAGAAAAGAGTAACGCTATACAACAAATAAATTCGAATGAAAGTAACGAATGTAAGATTATAAATGATAGCCAAACATCTTCCGAAAAGGAATGTATGGAAAACAACGGAGACATTCAAAATAGCTCACGAAAAACTCGAGATAAAACTAAAAGTTTGCTCACTAAACTTCGAAGACGAAAACGGAGAAACAGTAGTGATTCAGATGCAAGTGATATTGATCACACAGCTATGGAATCCTCTAGTGATGACATAAATTCTGATGTTTCTGAAACAGAGGACGACATATTAAGTGAAGAAAATGTGTTATCAGAAGATGCATTATCTGAAGACATTACAGATGACGAAGGCGTATCGAAACAAGTAAATCAACAAAATACAGACAGTACTGAAATAAAAAAGATGAATGGACATGTAGAAATGAAAAGAAAAAGTGAAATATCTGATATAGTCAACAATCATGTACAAAATGGTCAACAAAAAACTGATGACCAAGTGGAGAAAAAAGTCAGTGATAAAGATTCGATAATTAATTCTGGAAATACAGAAACAACTAATACAAATAGCACATTCGATGAAAATAGTGCATCATCGGATAGAGTAATATACATTGCTCAACTAAAAAAGCAAGATTTAAAACCAAATGACGTACTAAACATTATAACGGGAAAAGAAATACTGGCATCCATTAAAATATGTTGCGATTGGTTGAAAAGTAATCCAGAAATTATACGTATATGTGGGAAAAGTTCACGCACTTTATTAAAACGCGTTACAATTTTATTGAATTTGATTAGTATTGATACAGAAATGCTCTTGAAAAATTGCAAAGATGATAGTATAATTTTATCAAGTTTAGATAAATTGAAAAAATGCGTTAAGATAGTTCCATTACCAGAAGATATAGATTTGAGAGGATTAAATCTTTTAGAAGATGCTCAGAAATCTTTGGATTGGAAGATACTGCATAAGCATAAGATGAATAAGGAAGAAGAAACTCTATTGAGAGCATTAAAATTAATCGAATTTGGTCATTTTCTTAGTTCCGTTGATGATGCTGGGGTAAAATATGAACAAACGAAGCAATTATTTATAACGATTGATTTGAACACTTCAAACACAAAGGGTAGTAGTAAAGGTTGGGAAATGGATCATTCACGCGGAAAGTTAATGAGACATATGGGAAAATTATGGTTGAAGGCAGAAGTTTGTGCTTTGGAGACTCGTTTAAGATCTAAATTTATGTCTCCTTACTTGGTACCTGATCATGAGGTTTTATCCAAACATACACCAGCTTTAAAGCGATTGGTTTATGCTAAAAAGTTTATTGTTGTGATTCCTAGCGTTGGTACGTTTAATTACATTCTGTTTTCTTTTTGTTTTATTTGTTTCAATTAATAACAATGTATTTTTTTAGTTGTTTCTGCTTTGGATGAAGTCAAACGTATTAGTGGTCGAGCAAGAGAAGCAACACGTTGGTTAGAAGCTCAGTTGAAACGTGGTTCGAGGTTTCTACGGGCTCAAAGACCTCACGAACGTTTAGCACTACCGTTCATTAAAGGGCCAAGGCCAAAGGATAAAGAAGCATGGTTATTCTTTCAGATAATAGAGTGTTGCCATTATCTTACTCAACAAACAAAAGTTGGTATAACAAATGATGCAGAAACACCAGTTGTGACATTATTGACTGGTTGTAATCCAGATGATAAAAGAGTCCTCACTTTTAGCCCAGAAGGATTGGCAAAGAGTGCAGGTATTGCATACAATTTTTTTAGATGTTTTGTTAGAGTAATTTATATAAATTAAAAATAGATTATATCACTTAATATTTTATAATGAATATAATTTGTATTATAACTTAAAATTTTATTTATAATTAAATAATTCAATATATATAATATATATAGAAAAGTTGGATTCTTTGTTCATTTGATAATAGATTAGAATAAAATAGAAATTTAATTTTCAATTTTAGGCGTCAATATCGAATATATTGAGTCATTTCACACAAAGTGGAAGGCATCAAGTAAAAGTCACGGTTGAACATATTGGGTTAATGAAGATGATCATCTGCTGCTTCCTCGTACTGAAGTGAAAGATTAAAGACTTGGCCCTTCTTAAGAGCTGCGTATACGGCGACGCTACGGCATCAGCTGAGCGGGCGAGTCAGAGAGGGCTGGAAACCCAGAAAGGAAAATCGACGGTTCTCCTGTAATAAAACCAGTGGATTAATATCTTTTTTTTCGTGAATTCTAAATAATAAAATGGTTTCCTTTTAATCACCCGTATTGAATTTTATGTTTAAAAAATTGTATTTTTAGGTAAATATTTTTCAATAAAAATAAATTTGCTTTCGCAATTTTTCAATGCTTTAAACAAAGGAAATTGGGATAAAAATTACGTACTTTTGTCTTATTAATTGTTTTTTTTTTTTAATTATAAATAATTTTACCGAAATGAAAATAAATCGTATTATTACGATATAATATTATTAAATTTTGTTATTTTTAACTATCCGAAAATAGCGTCCTTTTGTAAAGAAATAATATTATAAGGAATCGTGACGCGTAATACATTATCATTATCGAAATACACATCTACAGTATTATTTGTAAATGAGGTCTTAAACTAATTGATAAATATGCCGTTCAAAAATTATTAATTTTATTTAATAATAATTTTGTTAAGTACATATTTCATCCAGTTATTGTTGAATATAACGAGTTCTTCTATTTCACAATTTCTTCGTAAAATACGTCAGTTTTCAATGATATAATATATACCAGGTAGATATTTAATACATGACGTATAAGCAAGCTTGTATTAGTATTTTAAAGTTACGATAGTGGTAACACGACATAACCTCTTAATACAACGATTCGTGATTTTTCACAAATTAGACCAAACATTTTTGAACAAGATTATTACTTTGTTATTCACATATTTAAGTAAAAATTGTTTAACAAAACAATAGAATATTTTCTTGATAAACACGTTATGTTTTGATTCTTAACGGAATTATATACAGGTGCTTGACATATCGTATACTTTTCATCATTTCATATATTATGGTTCATAGAATAGTCGCTCAAGTTGACCCTTCTATGTGATCTTTATAGTTTTTTGGAATAACTTGTTAACAAAATTTAGCGTAGTTTCTTCGGGAATCAGTTCGCGAACGAAATTCCCGTGGTGCAAAAAAGAGGTAAAGAATTTAAGAAAAGTGGTACGCAATTGGCCCTCAACGAGGGAGAATCGAAAGCGTCGAAAGTAACGAGTCATCTACCGATTCAAGATGGCAGAAGGCCAGGACACTCAAAAGAAAATTACTGTTAACGTCAAAACGCCAAAAGAAAAACAAAGTGTCGAGATCGAAGAAGGTGCAAGTATTAAAGACGTAAGTTTTTCAATCCTGTATCTATGAATTTCACCAGAAATTAAATTTTGAATTAAATAACATAATTGTCATTGTTGGGTTAACTCTAATAATTATTTCCTTTAAAATTCATAGTTCAAAAAAGCAATCTCGAAGAAGTTCAATGCTCAAACAGAGCAATTATGCCTAATTTTTGCTGGGAAGATTATGAAAGATTATGAAACTTTAAGAACACATAATGTAAAAGATGGTTTCACGGTGCATCTGGTTATCAAAGCACCATGTACTCCTACTAATCAGAATCAAGAGTCCACACCATCTCAAAGATCACATGGTATAAATATATGATATATATATTAGAGAATATTTCATTTCTTAATTCTATTCTTTAAAAATGTGCTGTTATTTTATTCTGAAGTATAAAATATATTATTTTGTTTTATATAGCTGATATAAATGCGAGTCCCTTTGGATTAGGAAGTTTAGGAGGTCTTGTAGGTCTAACATCGCTTGGTTCAGGGTCCACTAACTTCATAGATTTACAACAACGTATGCAACGTGAATTGTTGTTAAATCCAGAAGCACTGCGTCAAGTACTTAATCATCCATTGGTGCAGAGTTTAATGAATGACCCAGAAAGTATGCGTAGTTTGGTTGCAGCCAATCCACAAATGCAAGAACTAATGCAAAGCAGTCCAGAAATTAATCAGATGTTAAATAATCCTGAATTATTGAGGTGAGAATAAAATTATTTAAAGTATAACTTTACAAGTAGCATTTTTATGTTTTTCTACATATGTTATTAAATGTGATTTATGTTCTAAATATTACATTTTTTCAGACAAACAATGGAATTAGCACGTAATCCATCAATGCTTCAAGAATTAATGCGTTCTCATGACAGAGCTATATCTAACCTAGAAAGCATTCCTGGTGGTTATAGTGCACTTCGTCGAATGTATCGTGACATTCAGGAGCCTTTGTTTACAGCAGCAGACAATGAACAAAATCCTTTTGCAGCATTAGTGCAAAACAATAGCGGTGAGGATAGTCAGAATAATCCACAGCAAGGCCAAGAAAATAGGGATCCATTACCAAACCCTTGGTCTCAGAATCAGAGTGACTCTTCAAATCAGCAGCAACCGCAATCGCAACAACAACAACAACAACAACAGCAGCAGCAGCAGCCACAGCAGCCAGGAAGAGGTCTTTTGAATACACCGGGAATGCAAAGTCTTGTGTCTCAAATGATGGAAAATCCACAATTGATACGAAATATGTTAAATGCTCCATATACAAGATCTATGTTAGAAGCTTTGGCAGCAGATCCAGCTATGGCTAATAGAATGATTTCTGCTAATCCTTTCCTTCGAGGAAATCCACAGATGCAAGAACAGATGAGAGCTATGATGCCTGCATTTATCCAACAAATGCAAAATCCTCAAATTCAAAATGTCGTTACTAATCCAGATGCTTTAGCTGCTATTATGCAAATTCAACAAGGCATGGAACAGTTACGTACTGTCGCTCCCGATCTTGTTGAAAAGTAAGTTAGAAATTTTATATACGCATTATAATATAGTTTTTATATCGTATTTTAATAATTATTGTTTAATATAATCGGAGAAGGGGGAGTTACGTTTAAAAGTTAATTAATGTAATATTTTTAGTATGGGATTGACTGTGCCACCTACAACTACAACACCTAATGCAGGTGCAACAAATCCAACACCACCGACGACAGAATCATCAGATACGAACCAGCAAGATTCTTTTTCTCAATTTATGGCACGCATGGTAAACATTTCACATAGTTATGAACGATATATTAAAAGAATTAGTTATTAAGTTTATTTTCGTCAGGTAACGGCAATGGCATTAAATCAAGGTGTAGAAGTGGATGGGCAACCTGTTCCTCCACCGGAAGAACGTTACAGAGCGCAATTAGAACAGCTTACAGCCATGGGTTTTGTTAATAGAGAGGCTAATTTACAAGGTAACGACATCCATGTTTTCTTTTAAAGTTTTCATTATTAATTTATCATGGCTTACAAACATTTTTAATAATATCGATATCTTTTTCTAAGAAATGTAGCTTTAACTATCAATAAACTTTATTTGTTATCGCTATCAAACTAAGAGGTAAAGAATTAAACTTTATAGTATCTTTATCTTATAATAATTGGAATATTATTTTTTTGCAATAACTTCATAATAAAATTTTCCTAATAAGATTACAAATTCTTACATTTCAGTTTTACGAACTTTGTACTTTAATATATTTACTTCATTATGAAATTAAATCAAATTTTGATTTTTTACGATTGAATTAGTTTTTATTAACTTTCTGTACTTAGAAACAGTTTTTGTGGAACTTCTAATTGAACTATAATAATTTTATCAGAATACTTCATTGAATGAAAGTAGTCCTGTATATATTTTAGTTGATATAACTTACATAATTTAAAACTAAAGAGCATATAATATATAAATGTTTATTAATATGAGATCCATTTCAAAAATTGATTTAATATTTCAAAGTACTAAACAAAGTTTATGCGAACATAATTGATCCTTTTTACGGGATATAACAAGTTTTGTGTTCTATCATTTGATATCTGATTATTTTTATTGGAAATTTTCAAAGTGACTACATTTCATTTAATCCATTTATTTGAATATTTTTTGTTTGAAACTTGTCTAGTTATGTGACTATAGAATCGAACAAAGTTTCCAATGCTTTTGAATAAAAATAGAAATGACAAGGTATATATTAACATACTTTGAAGTGCAAGATGGTCATTTTAGAGTACTTCTTGTGTAAATTATTAGATCAAATATCAAATAATAATTCATGTTGCATCTTTCAAATAAGATCAAACAGAATATATATTCATATGAACCTTTTATCATTATTTTAAAATACTGAATCAGTTCCTGAAGTGAATCTCGCATATTAAAAGGTACAGTTTTTAATATTGTAATATACACATATTTTGTTATTGTTTTCAGCATTAATCGCCACATTCGGAGATATAAACGCTGCTGTTGAACGACTACTGTCCAATGGACAAGTATCTATGAGCTAACCACCAATATGCAATACTGTTATTCCATTACTATTTCTAATTTTTTCCTTATTTACCTCTTACAACAGGCGTGGTGAGAGATATATGAGGTAACTGACTGTCAGAAAAAAAAAAAATTATAAACTTCTACCCCAACTCTTGACAGAATACACGCTACTGACTCGTTCAATATGCATTTTTTATTTTTGATTGGTACTTTCATCATATTTCGATGATATAAGTACTGGTATCTAAATGTTTATCTTGTTACATGATATATTTCACTTTTAAAATTTTCTAGTTTAATTCTGTATTCCGTATTTCTCGATGTGCTCTAAGTACTAGGTAGCTCTGTTAATGTCTTTCGTCGGTGTAAATTTGTTTATCGTATATTCAAGAAACAGAGAAAGAGAGAGAGAGAGAGAGGGAGAGCGAGAGCGAGTGAGAGGATGGTTGGGGTGGCGGAAGGTAAACACAGGAATGAGCGAAAGAGTGCATGCAAGAAAGGGAGAAGATGGGCAAGAGAACAAGGGAGCGAGAGAGAGAGAGGGAGGAGGGCGGAGGGGAAGAGTGGGGGAAGAGAGAGAGAGGGAAAAAGAGTTATATTAGATCGTAATACGAAGGACCTACCCTTCTTCTTTGTTATATTGTACATTTATGGTGTTTCTTAGAAACAGTGGAACCTGCATGGAAAATAGATTGCCGTTAAAATAAATATGCTTCTGGCTTGATCAGTCGATTGTAAATTTCATGAAGAAAGGTCATTTCTTTTGCTTAAATGTACGTAATTATTATATTAGTAAATGTACTGCATGAAACGTTCATATGTTTGCCATATACAAAAATGGGTATGTTGTCATATACAAGCATGTTTGTCATACAAAAATGGCTATGGGATAATTATTGATTTCTAAGTAACGTTTGATGTATAGTAATAAATTTGTCGAAACGCGAAGTGAAGAACTTCGAGCAAACAAATAAATCATAATTCAATTTGTTCTTTCTGGTTAAAGAAAAAAGTGTTCGGTGATTCGTTAGTGTTTTCCATGTAAGTTTTGTATGTACGGCAATAAGAAGTGGAAGATTTTTTCTTTATTTCCTCTTTATGCCGACGCACATTGTTTTCTTCTATTTTCTTTTCCGTTTTCTTTATCCTTTAGTTTTTATATTATTAAAAAAAAGTATAAAAAAAAAGTACTATGCATTATATGCCTTTAAGATACAAATTTAGAGATTTGTAGCGTGATGATCGAGAATTTTATGGTGTAGGTTGTTTATAGAGAAACACGCGAAAAGATTGATTATAAACGAAAATATTACATGTAAATGTGTTAAATTGGAAATGTAATCGCCGGTTAGGTTTAAGACATACGAAGGTAGAAGAAGAACATGGCAAATGTTGTAAATTATCTTTATTAAAGGAAAAACAACACAGTTTTAATTTTAATATTTTGAATTGATGTACGATTACATAAATACCTATGCGCATTATAATAAACTTTTATGTGTATTCAGTAAATCTTCACTAAACAAGGTATTCTGTACAAGCGATTATATCACAAAATAAATTTATGTTTGATTCATATTAATCAGTTTTTAAGTACGGAAATATATTTGAAATATTATTTGATTACTTTAGCAATACACATAAGTGAATGATATAAGAATAAAAAACATATATTTAGAAACAACATAGACTGGAACCTATGTAAAATATACATTTTAAATCGAATTGATGTTTTTAGTAACCCGCCTCTATAATTAAAATTTATTATTTAATAAATCCATTACCTATTAGAACATAAATTGATACATTAAATTCTACTTCCATAATACCATAATAATATTTCATGCTTACCATCCTTTACTCTCATAATATTTTGAAAAATAGTTTAAACAGTTGTTATTTATTTTTAATATTCCTAATCAAAGATAATTTTAGGTTTACTAGTCAATGCACTTTAGATATATTTGAGCTATTTCAACTATTTCCGACCTGGAATGAAATATTTCGAGTAAAAGAACGAAAGATTTTGTTTCCCAACAAATTAATGTCATCTTATGTTTACAAACAATACCATACATTGTACTTCAAATTTTATGTAAAACTCACCTATATTCAAAAATAATGGGACATTCGTTTTTATTACTCGTATTATATTGTGTTATGCTATGTGTGTTGCAATTTGTCAATTATAACACCATTAATTCCTCCCTTTATTATAAATAAAGAAATTACATCACTATTGTGCACCATATGATCTTCTATTTCATTGAATAATGAGATACTTTCTGTCTTATAAGTTCCTAAATAATTTCAATTATAAAAAGAAATTATTTTTCAGATATATTTCTACAATAACGAAGTTTGGATTTAATACTAATGAATTCATTCGTGATTAAATTTATTTGACATACCGCCAAACTCGAATATCATAGCGAATAATTTATTGACTGCATGAGAATATACGTTATTTTTTTAAGTTGGGAATAACCATTCACAAAGCTAATACTACGATTCATACATAAAATTAACAAAAACATCAATAACAATAATAATAACGATAATATTAGTAATAATAATTGCATATCGAGAATAAAAAAATATTTACAAAATTCAAGTAAATAATTTAATAGTTAAGTATTAATGATTAGCATTTTTCAATAACGAAATTCAAATCTTCATGGAGAGGGAAATACAAACGGACGATTTGCGCATCCCCTCTTCTGCGTCGTCCACGAACTGCACTGTACTACGATCAGTCGGTTGGCGCGGTGGCGATTCAGTCTGTGTTGATCGCTCGCACGGTCTACATTGTAGTGTGTGCTGTGAGGTATGTAACGCCGGCTTCTCAAGGCAATCGTTGATCTTGAGAAACACACGACGGTCGTCGGATTGACGTTTCTTGTGGTGTGAGAAACCTCGTCGGAGTCTGCGCGCGGGCAGCGCGGACGAATCGCGTCGCGGGCACGCGAGCCGCCTGGACTATCACGTGTGCATTTGAATTTTCGAAAAGATCGAGTGCCGGGTGGTGCAGGTGTGGTTTGTTCAGTGCAAAAGGTGGTGCTCAAGCCCAACTCGGTGTATTCTCGTCTTCGAAAACGTTGGCAGAGCCAGCGGAATGTGGCACGAGGTGAGTTAGCAGCCCGCCCGGTTTCGCCGAGGCCAGGGACGGATCTCGATGGGCCCTTTTCCTTTTCTCTCGCATTTCGCGGTTTCTTCTAAACCTTTATTGTCGTGTGAATCTTTCTCCCTTACTAAAGTGGTCAATATTACGCATTAATCTGCAAATACTGCGAAAGTAGACCGTATGGTATCGTTTGTGAAAATTTGGCAGTTACAGTATGTTCGCACAGTGTTCGCTTTAGCTAGTAAAATTAGTAACGATGCTACTTGTTACTTGGAGTTTGCAATTGTGCGTGTAACGTGACAACAAATCCAAATCATTAAAATTCCATTTGTAAATGAGTTTTTAAGTTTTTAACTTCGTTAGAAATGTTGATAATGACTTTTCAAGAAATTAGTCCGTAGAGAAATCACGTGATCAAAATGTCTGTACATATATAGTTGTTTTCCTTGTTTTAGATCCACGTAACTTTTGATTTGCATATTTGAACAATCTTCATAGTTTATTTGTCGTTGTATACTGTGTTGTGTATATTCGGTAACTCCAAAGAAGCTCCATTTAAAACGTGCAACCGTGTAACGCGAAGAAAAACATTTGTTCGTGGAGATAGGATCGATAAATACGTTACGCGCCAACTGCTTGGTGAAAAAACTTGATAGTGCGTCGTTTTAAGGATACTTCGTCGCATTTACAAAGTAACATAATTGTAGATATATTATGATCAAAATTACATGACTAATAGTATTTTGTAAATGGTGAATTAATAAATATATTAATAAATAAGTAACAGAATTTATATAATTTTGTAATATTTAAAAATAATTGTTTGTCTTCTACGTCAAATTTTGTGGATATATTTATTTACAACTTTTGTCATTTCTATTAAGCTCATTAGAATAATAATGTTGAAAGTATTATAGTAAATCGGTTAATAATGAAAAATCGCTATATAAGATTATTAATGAAAAGTATTTATTGGTAGAATATATTAAAATAATTGCATTTATTTCAATTTTCATTACTTGAATTATTTATTGATTGAAATTTATAACTGAAATTACTTAATTAAATTTGATAAGAATTTTTTCTCATTTCTTTCTCATAAAAAACAAGTATTGAATAATTTTGACAGGCGCGAACCATTTATTATTTCATTATGTGAAATAATGACAGATGTTTAAAATAATATATTACTAATGCAAAATAAGGATTCGTTTCAAAGGAACGTCAGACTCATAAATATTTACAAAAATATTCATAAATATTTCCTTATGCATAATTAATAACTGGCTTTTTTATTTAATAAAACTACAAACTATGAAGCACTAAATCATGCCATATTTAATACCGGTCAAAATATTAATTTTACGTGTTTACACATTATAATTTAAACAGCGATCTAGTTTTCTCAAATAATATCATCATATGGTGATATTACATTCTTCGTGACTTTTGGCGCTATTAAAATGATAAATAAATTTATATACTATTTTAAGATGACGCGAAGAAAATCTTACAGATTTTTATTTTTACAAAATATTTGTAATTCAAAAATAAGTTTTTAATCAGTGTTTAAACTAAATATTTGCATAATTTATATGAAATTACACTATTTGTCCATATTCTTTAATGTAGGAAGTATATAATGTACCGATAAAATCTTCGACTAAACTATTACGTAAAATGCATGAAAATAATCTATTAATCCTAAAAGGATAAAATTCGAGGAATTCCAGTTATGTGATGGGCAGATGTTGTTCCAGGCAAATGGCTCACAGTTGGCATAAATAATGGGGTCACGTACGAGATTAGCCTGTTCCTTACGTCATTGCCATAACTTTGCTCTCTTTGTTGTATTTTATATCTGTGTCAAGCTTGCATGACCAATTTCTTCCATTTTAAGAAATAGATTCCGGTGTACATTGAAATTGCAATAAATCACTAGCTTTTATTAAGTACATCAATAATAATATCTCAGTTCATATATTTCACGGTGTCGTATCATATCATTTTGCAAGTAAAATTTTTTAGTTATTCTTCAGTGATAATTGTACTAATAGTTGTCGAATCAAAATTAAAAGTTTTTAATATGTAAACAATTTATTTGATTTACATAAAATAAAGCGTGTGTCTTAGTGGAAAACGGTTTCAGAATTTTTTGTAGAAAAAAATGATTGGAATAATTTGTTAGATATATATTAAACTAAATATACACATATATAATACATTATATGCAATGAATCGTATAATAATGTTACGATTATACGTATAATAATTTGCTAATTTTATCGAATGAAATCTTTTCCTCGTTGTTATATTTTTCTTATGAAAAATAAAAGGTAGTACATACATAATATTATTTATTCATATTCAAGATTAATATTATTCTTAAATAATATATCTATTTCTAAATATATTAGAAATTCTTTATTTAATTATACCACGGAACATATTGTACCCTCTGTAGGTGTTTAGTCGTCATTTTTGTCGTGATCTTTTATCACATACACTTGCGCTATCTTTGCGTAGTGTTCGAACTTCTATGCTATTAAAGACATCGTTAGTCGAAAGATGTCAGAAAAGTCGGGTTTGACAGCCCCCCGTGATTTCCGAAGACTAACGTCGCCCCTGTGACGGGGAGAAGAGGTGGACTCGCGATTCGTGTATGCAGGAGATTTTGTATCCGTTACTCCCTCGAACGCTTTCCATCTCACACTGTTGAATCGCGGCGAAGATTAATTTGTCTTCGGCCGTTCGAGCGCTAGAGTGTACATGGTGTTTCTTCCATTTTCGTTGGAACGCGTTTCTTCTGTATCCTTTCATCCTCCATTTGCAATTACATGTTCTTCTCGATGTTTTATCGACTGAGAATTTTTAACTCCGCCTGTCGATAATTTGATTTCATGGTAACATCGATTACGTTATATTTATAGGTTATATGTAGTGTGGCGCGAAATAATAACAGATTCGACGAGTATTACGTAATTACCAACCTTGTCTAACAACTATGATAATGTGTTTTAGGGATTGAAGATTTTCACCACTATATTATTGCCCCTTTAGAGGATCAGTTATGCAATCTGAAGTTGTCGAGAAGGAAAGGTGCTTCTACGACTCTGTGTTAGACAACGCATGACACGCGATATGTTTGCATGTACCCTTGCGCTTTTATCTTGTTACTTGATTGAAAGTGTGAATAACTGTCGGTATCATGAGGCTGTTTCAACACGTATGTTATCTGAAGGTAATACTCGAGTTACTGATTTTATAAAATATTTTACGTAGAATCTGATGAAATTGATATTTTAACAATTATTTCAATATGACGCAAGCTTGAAAATTCCCGCTCAAAGAACCTATATCAATCTTCGCTACGAGGGAAATGGCATATTTTCATGAACAGCAACAGTGAAAAATACTGAATGAGAACAAGAAGAATTTCTTAACTTCAATTAGTGTAAAAGGGAGGAAACAAAAGTACGCTGTCAGTCGTAGGTTGAGCCCTGTTGATGAACGTATACGAAGGTTATGCTGTAGCAAAGGCACTCCTTAGTTCTGGCTCAAGGTTGGACTATTAACAGACTAAAGCACACCGACGGGTTTACGTCGTTACGAAGAACGACTTGCTGCGACATGGACTTCGAGGTTAGGAAATAGTGAAAACGGCGAAAATCCAGCTGACGAACTTCATTTGTCTCAATTGTGACTGCATTTTCATAGAGGTTACTTCGACTACATAGTATCTTTTGATGCCTTACATAAAAAGTTCCTCGAGATTCATTTATTGTTTTGATTAAAGGTTAGCTTATTATTTTTATTAAACATTTCATAAAACATTGGAGATTATGTGACTTTATAATTGTTAACTATGGTTTAAAATGTCTTATACTTAACTTTATTTTTAAATTTGCCGCCGTTTTGATTTTGGTTATCTTCGAGAATAATAATATTTTTTAAATATTTGCGGAATTAAACTTTAACCATTAAGTCATACAGGATTTTATTTATTTATAAATTTCATTTTTAGGTTCCTGTATTACAAAAAGCAAGAAAGCAAAAGAAGACATTTTTAACATAGTATTTATCATATACGTATTAATTAGTTTTTAATAACATTGTTCATGACCTAATTTTTATAATTCTTTTTAATTACTTGCTTATTCTCAAACTGTAAGTTGTTCTCAAATTGCTAGTTATTAGGGGACCGTGAATGCACGTTAAATTTCATCTAAGTATATAATTACTGCAATCGTAGGTATGCAACATTTAAAATTAGTCGTCGAAAAAGATGAACACTAATGAGCTCAGCGTTCGAAGAGGTTAAGTTTGGGTTAGATTTCGATTTCAACTTGTGGTTAAATAGTGAGTATTAACGTTCGATACTTCCTGTGCTTGCCAGTGCAGGTGTTGCAAATAATAGTTCGGTGAGAGTAAGAAAAGGATACATAGAGTGTGAGACTAGCGTAATGGTTTCGAATTTACTAGGTACACGCCGGTTGTGTACGTTCATCTCGTGTAAAATAAAACGTTGAAAAGTTGAGGAAATTGGGATCTGGCCTTGGTTCAAACAACTGCTTCGACTTTGATCTGTTGTTTACTAATTAATTCGCGGTCATAAACCACTTAATACGATATTGTAGTTTATTAAATTCATTTTCTTTTTTTCCTTTGTAATATGTGGAACGTGAGATTATTAAATTTTAGTTTATACTAACAAAAATACAATTCCAGTTCATCATACTTTATTTATAATTTTTGTATTGTTGTTTAATTGGTTGTTAATGCCTTTTTGCATTAATCAATACCTTCTTTGTATCAATTCTTTCTAAATATTGGTGTTTTTTAGATTAATTTCTTTTTTTTCTAATCCTTGTATTAATTTGAAATTTAATATTTTCTTTAGATCACACCAGACTATGACTAATGAAATAAATATTTTTGTAAATGATTGTAAATTAAAAATTTCACGGGTATTAACGTGCACAACATTTACAGCACTGGAGGTCCTAGAAATTCCTAAAAATCTAATATTCTTCTGTTATTCAGTTGGTCTTACGTTTAACCTATTCGATAAGGAGATGCAAATGTCGTTACGATTAATCAAAATGAAAAACCACGGACACGTCATAACTAAGGAGGTATTTGCTGTGAAAATATATTTTATCGTTTTACCTCTATTTGCGTAATCCACATTCTTATACCTATATATGATTTCAAAAGCACCAAATAGAGCACGAGAAGCAGAAGAAACGGGAACGAAGCAAGGGAAGAAGAGAACGTGTGCAAGAGAAATGCAAGCAGAATGAAAAGTGATCGTACTAAGAGGCGCAAATGCCAGCAAAACGTCGGGTTACAGACCAACGCGATATTCGCCTCATCGTCGACTTGTGCGGTCGCTTCACGGCAATTTTGCAATTTTCCTTTTTCCCGCCATTCCTTCGCTACACCTTCACACGCATGCACGCGGTTCAAACGTTACATTTGCAGCGACTTGTCTTTTGCGCATGTCCTTCCTAACGTATATGCGTTTAGGTTAGAAACACCCGAGGCGATTCTTAACGAACCGGCTGTCAATTCAACGCCGACGTTTGCAGTTGTGCAGAGTGTAAAAAATGTTCTGGTATTCGTGGGTAATTCAACGATGCTTTTGTATCAATAGAGATTTGTTAAATTCAAGGTCAGATTTTCGCGTTATCTCTTCTATCGAATTAAGAGAACAGAACGAATTAAAGAAACTGCGTATATGTTTCTGTCCATTAATTGTATATACGCAACTGTTAGATCCATGTTAAATCTAACCTTTACGGGTTATACCAATAGGAAGTATCGATAATGAAATATCGATATATCGATACATCATTTACAGTACAAAGTTTTAACAAATTTTGATGACTCAATATTTGTGGATAATTCGAGTGATTTATTCATCGTAATATTGAAATTTGAGATTTAATTTTTCTGTTGTAATATATTCTGTTCAAACAAGAGGATAAATCATGTTAAACGAACCGTACATCACAATTTGAGAGTTTTATATATGAGAAGGTCGTTAAATCAAGTCTGAAAGTATCAATAATGACGTACATATTGTAAGGTCGATAAATATTTTTCTAACCTAGATTTGAATGCAGAATCTCCAATTGTTTTTATTGCCAATTAGAAAAAATAGTAACAGATGAAATAACTTTTTAATATCTATATTAATATTCGTATGAATTTTATATTAAATCACGTTAGTATTTTTCATAAGACATAAGTTAGTTAGTGTTTAGGTGATTATGTAGTAATAGTCTGACTATTATTATCACTGTTACTTTTACTATTGTACCTGCCATGTTTACTGTTTTTATTTCTACTACTACTATTGCTATTGGTATTATTGTCATTGCTGCTATTGTTGCTACTATTTCTACTAATAATAATAGTAGAAATAATAAAATGAAAAGCTGCAGTCTTCATTCTTTTTTTTTACATATAAAAAAAGTAAAAAGTTATATTACAAACATTACATAATTCGGTGTAGAATAACTATGGCAAATTATATCCCTATGAATTCAATAGTATAAAGATACCTCTGAAGAATTTAACTATGATGATATGGACTGAAATTGAAGCGCCATGCCTTTGCCGCTCAGTAGAATTTGAATTTAGCCATTTCTCAAAAATGTTCCAAAGAAATTATTCTTCGCAATAAAATATTTTTAAGAAGTCTCTCACTCCGCTAAGGTATTAAAAACTTGATTAAAGATCGCTTCGTGTGTTTTTAGCCGTATTTCCCCATCTGCGATTCATGGTATTAGAAGCCAGCGAACAAAAGGCTGCACTACATCAAATTCGTTGGCATGCGCAAACGGCCTCTGCTTACTGTAGCGCGTGCGTGCGCACGTTGGCTTCTCGATGGGACGCCGGGATATGGAAGGCCGCCGCGGTAGAAAAAGAAGTAACGCAAAGGCTCGTCAACGAGAGTGACTCTCTCTGTAAATGATCAGGAGTACGCCGCCGGACAATTCTTCTTGCCTTTTCGAGCGGCCGCTTGCGAAACCGGCGTGTCCGCCAGCTCCACTGGTCGCGCTGCTGTTCTTTTTAATTTTTCTCATTCGAACGAGATGGTATTTGAGCGGCTTCAAGATTGATTTGGAATTGGAAATAACTGCGGTAAGACGAAAGGCACTTTGATGTTAACTTCGATGCTTCGTTGAAATGAAACGTACTTTTTTTTTTTAGCAAATCAATGTATCAACAATGTTAATTACCTGGAAATACATATTAGGACGCGTGTCCATAGCGTGTGATTCGTTGAGGCAGCAATATTATTGGGATATTGAGATTAGAATATTTTGAATGTCGGAATGTTTCTGGAATATCGATGCGTTATTAGCTGTTGTCAAATTATAGTAATATATGATCATATAATGTAATAGATGTAGTTCAGTATGTTAAATAATTGGCAAATTGTTTGAAACCAGATATTAGGTTGCGTTTTTTTGATGTGTTATTCTTACAGGTTCATTGAGGATATTTGGCAAGTATAGTTATTATTGTTGCAGTCGACCTCACTTGAATGTCCCAGGGATGGTGGGAGAGTCAATTATATAGAAATGGGGATCATAAACATCCCTGAACATAATCGAGTTAGATTCATTTTCTCGTACCAAATCTATCGACAGAGGTTCTAAGTCGAGTTTAACCTAGTTAAGCAAAATCGAGTTTAACCTAGTGAAGCCAGGCTACCGCTAATTTATGATTAGTCTAATTGAGCCTAGATCATAGATCCTTATTTTCTATCACCTTGTTAATGTTTTAAAAGTATATATTTATTTAACGAGGTCTTGGTCTTTTCTCTTAAGGAAATGTGCTTCCTTGGTCTTAGATTTTACGAAGATACTCTCTTGACTCTACTATCTTTAGGTAATGTGTTCTCAGAATAAAAGAAACAAGAATGATACCAAATGTTAGCAGTATCATAAGATATTGCTACATTGATCTGTTTAGTGCGTTTTGGTAAATTTTGCAAAGTTGATATATATATATTTAGCGTGTTTCACAGATTGTGTATATTGTGTATATTAGGCTGTTGTGTATATTCATGTCAAATTTCACGATTGTAAGCTACACTAATCACGCAACCATAATTATATTTCACACGTTTTAACATGCACAAAATTCGAAAAATTTCTAAAATTTTTATCTAATTTTATCTCTGATAGGATAAGTATACAGTGGTTAACCAAAATTAAATACTACTTCAATGCATACTTTTTCATAATTAAATCGTAGTACAAGAAGTTAATATTTTGCTAGATTTCCTAAGGTAAAATATATTATACCTAAGGGGAAAGATTTTTACTACTAGGTACCTGGTTATTCTTCCGTTTGAAATTGTTGGGGTTCAGCTGGTGACCAAATTTACTCTATAACTATTTCAGGGGTGCAACTTGTCAAATATCTTTTAGGGAAGGTAATGTGAGTTATCAATTGAACACTTTATGGTAATAAGCTAGAATTATCGTAGCCACGCAGGTTCTGCGAATAGACTTGATGACAGCTGGTCGGTTGGAACTTGTTTTATTATGTGGTTAGGATCTCTTTCGGAATCAGTTGTTGAAACTGTTTGAAAAGTAACCGTTAATAACCGTTATAGAAGAGCCCTCCTAAAACAGCTGTGCGAAAAATAAAATGACGTTATAACTGTTAAAACAGAAGAGTTTCTGACAATCTCAATTAGAGTTTCAAAACCGCAACGTTATTACTTTTAAATTTATTGGAACCGCAACTAATTGATACTTAATTTGCATCTCGATACGATTATATTATAGTTATCATTTATTCTATATTTGTAAGTTTCAAAAAGAACTTTTGAACTTACAACTGGATTACATATATTTTAATCTTTTGAGCGCTATGAACACATATATGGGTATTCACATAACCATTCAATTTGTGTTATGAATGCATATATGGGTTTTCACATAACCATTTAATCTGCGTTGTAAATATACATATATGCGATTGATATTTAGCGTTTAGCGTTTAATATTTAACGTCGCACAACTCAGCGCTCAAAGGATTAAATTTTGCGTGTAATTCTTACCTTGATAGCCTTTCCTAAAGATTTCTTTTATAATTCCAAATACCAGGTCCCATCATGTGAACGTAGCTCTGCATCGAGTAACAAGCCTTTAGGACCCAACTACATTGGTTGGTCTCCTAGTCAAAGAGAATTCCAGGCAAAGATACACTTGTTTATTTTTATACCACTGACATCTTTCCAAAAAAGATTCGAATTTCCCGGTACAAAGGAAATAGTCAAAAAACTAAAGACACATAAATTGAAACTAAGTTGCAACGGGTCCGAAACGGACGACTAGCCGTGACGCATTCGCATGCACAAGATGACTCCAGGCTTTAACACCCTTGGCCGATCGGTCTGCGTCCAACTTGAGCCACGGCCGACCTCGACACGGCTTACACAGGAACGAAGGCAACGCCGCCAAACCGATCATGCCCGCGGGGACAAGTCGAGGGCCCAGAGAGGCCTAGTAGCCGGACGCACGTGCCCCTGCCGTATGGGGTAGAAGCCAATAATGGACCGCCCCATGAGGTCTGATCGTAGGCATGTATGCGCGTCTGAACTACAGGTCTCATACCCTGGTCGAGTATGCACCGGTACCGGGTAAGTCGACCAGGGCCGCAAACCTCGACACAAAGAGGAGCATCAATCGACGATGTCCTGATAAACTCGTCGAATGATCAACGACAGATAATATTTTGAGAGAGCAGCTTACGAAAATTTGGAATTATCTTGCACAACTATCCTTACATAGCAACGTTACAGTAAGGAGGGAACCTAAAACAATAGGAAAGAGTAAAACTCAGGTGACGATTAATTTTAATAAAATTTCAAAATGCAATTGAGTCAGTGCTAACTGATAACCACTGTTCATCCTATTCACATCTCAGACCCACTCTGATTAAACTTTCGATCTGTCTGATCCGGAGTCAGATTGGCAAATGAGCTCCAGCTATATAATGCCACGGTCTTTATACAGCTAACAACCGGTGTCTACTGAAGGTCAGACGAATAGTCACAATCGTTACTGATTTCCCTGATAATTAATTTTTTTACTACCCACGTCCATGATTTATTAATTTCTTATTTTTGTTATAACTTCATATTTTTAATAATTTGTTATTAACGATAAATGCTATAATTTACACATCCTTTGTAAATTATGTCATTTAGTATAACTCAAGGAAGGTATATCTATAAGTGTTTCTTTAGAGCGACTGACCGACTCGTGAGGAGACTCGTACCCCAAGGGGGTACGTGACGCAGTTCGTCTAACCCCAAATTTTTATCTAACGTTTATATAAACATTCCTTCTCTAGGTCTTACAAACCATTTATTCACACCTTATGTCCTAAATTGATTTTTGTATATAACTAAACATATCTTTTTAACAAAGAAGTATGATAATCTGTTTCAACAGATAGGATTATTTAATAGCAGTAAATACTTTACCGAACCTAACCTAACAACGATTTAGCAGCGATTCCGATAGAAGGGTTTCTCATTCGGTAAATAAAAACATAGCGCCGCTTAAAGAAACTTCAGAAACGATACTACGAAACGTAACAGGCCCGTTGGGACCCTCGGTTGGGGAACGCTGGCATAGACTGGCAGATAGAGAAGCATGAAGATCGTGAACGATGAAGGAGGAGAGGAGAAATCGTTGCGAGAGAGAGAGACAGAAAGGCTGGTAAAGAAGAAGAAACGAAGAGAACCGGGGCCCAATGTCCATTCAGCAGGCACCTGCCACGTTAAATTCAACCGGGCTGGGCTGGATGGGTGCTTCCTTCGAATGGACCAGCGTGAAACAGAAAGAAAACAAGGACTATTCGAGAAAGTTGAAGAAGGAGATGTTCGGTGGAGTGGTAGAGTTGTAGAAGACGCCGGGAACAGTGATGGAAGGAGAAGAAGAAGAAGGAAGAGGCGCCCTGTAGGTACATCTCTCTTACATCACTCGTTGCTCTGCTCCTCCTTCCCAACCGGACCAAAGAAAATAAGCTGAGATATCACGCCGATAATGTAACCTTCACCTCCTCTCCATCTGATCTTTCTGTATCTGATTCTCGCTCTGATTGATTGAAATTTTGTCACTTATTTTTATTCTCACTTTTAGTAATTTTGTTATGGGAAATGTTTAAACATACAAATGACGTCCTTTTGTTGGGGTTTCTTCGAAATTGAATTACTTAATTCTGGAGTAACTAAATTACCTGTAACGGAAAAGAAATTTTCTAAGGTAAATTAACGTGGTAACTTTTTCGGTGATATTTTGGATCCTTTTTCCCTTGAAATTTTTTTTATTAAACTCAGTTTATCGTTTTCATTAGGTGTTTTATTTTATTTAATATTGGTTAATTTCGTTTTGATCAAATTTTAAATATTTTAAAAGAAATATAGGTTTGGGAAACTTCAGAATTTTAGCTCAGTTATTTTTTCTGGAGATATTGTTGCAGCTGTGTTAATTATTTTTGTAACAGATGTTAAAACAGAGATTAATTTTCTTACTATAACCCCTAAATTAATGTCTGTCAAGAATTTGCAGTAAATTGTCTTAAAAATTTGTGGATAATCAGATTGAATATACCAGTACGTTTCTTCGTACTTAAATCTTATAGTAAGAATATTTGAGTCATGGCTAATACAGGTTAAAACCAGTCAGTGCTCACATTTAACCAGAATCATTAACAATGTCGTGATAACAAAGACAAGTAGCAATGTAACAAATAACCAGCGCCACTAAAACCCCAATTTCAAACCCTCTTTTCATGACCTAAACCTCACCCCATTATCTTTCTCTCTAAACCCAATTCGCCTTATAAAATCAGTATTAACACCATCACCGTGTTACTCGTCGTATTACACTTGGCGCAACAATCATCCTCCAAATGGATATAGTAAATTGCTCATCTAACCCTTATTGTCCTATCCACAGTTTCTTTTCAGCAACATGGCGGCCTAGCGTAAGGCCAGTCAGAAGCCCCTCCTCTCACTGCTGATTTGAATGAAATATTCGATGGCTCGACTCTTCTATTAACTGGCTCTTTAAGAGCTTGAAGATGGTATACTGGTATAACGGATGGAGTAATCGCACGGTCATACATAATCTTTCTTTCAATGGCGTGTAGTCGCAAAATTACATTCGCACACGAGCAACATACGCTAGAGGGCGGTAGGGCGAGAAAGGAGGAAGTGGAAGGGGGAGGAGGATCGTTGGCCGCTACCTGCTGGCTCTTACAGCGGCGTCAAAGCGCGTCGGGATCGCCTTCGAGTATATTTCTCCGGTGAATTTCGCATAGTCATTCCAACAATGTGGTTACTTGCATCAATAACCCCGTCTTCCTGTGTTTTTACCTACGTTTACACTCATTATATTCGTTCACAGGGCCACTTATTCCGCAGCCGCATAACAAATGTCTCCCGGTTCTCCCACAGGCGTCGCTTCTTCCTCTTACTCGTATCTGCTTCCCCGAATACCTTGCTGCGATAA